CAGGTTGAATTTCTTTCAGCACTTTGAATATAACATTCCACTCTCTCCTGCAAGATTTCTGCCAAGAAATCCACTGATCATCTTTTGTGGGTTCCATTGCATGGGACAAGTCTCTTTTCTTTCATTGCTTTCAAAATAATCTCTTTCCCTTTGACTTTTGGGAATTTAATTATAATGTGTCTTGATGTATATTTATCTGTATGTAATATATTTGGGATTCTTTGAGCTTCATGTATCTGGACATTCAATTTCTAGATTTGGAAAATTTTATTTCATTATTTCTTTAAATAGGTTTTCTTCTTTATTTTTCTGCTCCTTCTGGAACTAATATATGCACATATTCGTTATGTGATGATATTCATTAAGTCTCATAGATTTTCTTCATTCTTGTTTATTCTTTTTTTTTTCCCTCTCTGAGTAATTTCAAATGACCTCTTTTCAATTTCACTGATTCTTTCTTCTGATTGATAAAGTCTGTTGTTGGAGCTATGTATGAAATTTTTCAGTTCAAGCATTGTGTTCTTTACCTCCAGAATTTTTTTATGGCTTCTATCTCTTTGTTGGATTTCTCATTTTGTTCTTGCATTGTTTTCCTAATATTATTTGGTTGTTTATCTTGTTATCCTGTAGTTCACTGAGCTTCTTGAAGACAATTATTTTGAATTCTTTTTCAGGCAGTTGTGGATCTCCAATTCTGTAGGATTGGATGCTGTTCTTTATTTGGTTCCTTTGGTGATGTCATGTTTCCCTATGAGACTTAATGAATGTTTCCCTAATTATTTGTGATCCTTGTGGTTATGTTGGTGTTTACCCATTTGAAAAAGTAGGCACCTCTTAGCCAAGCATGGTGGTACATACTTGTAATCTCAGCTACTCAGGAGGCTAAGGCAGGAGGATCACATGAACCCAGGGATTTGTAGTGTGGTATGATTGTGCTTGTGACTAGCCACTGAACTCCATCCAGCTTGTACAACATAGTGAGACCTCAGCTCTAAAAAAATAAATAAAAGTAGGAATCTTTTCCAGTCTTTACAGACTGAATTTTATCACAAATCAGACCATCCAAAGATTCTGAATGGAACATTTAGTGGGGTCTGCAAGCAAGCTTGCTGCTGGTGTCCTCAGGCAGGCTGGTGTGGTGCCCAAGTCTACTTGAAAGAGCTTGGCATATGTGTCCAGGGCAAAAGGTCTCAAACCTTGGCTTGAATCTTGGGTCCACAGGGACCAGTCTGGTGCTAGGGACAACTGTGTTGGACCTAGAGATTGGGCCTGCATGGGCAGGCCTAGAATCTGTGTCTGCAGAGGTCAACCTAAAGCTTGAGTCCATGACAGAAAATCTGGTACTGGGCAAGGCCTGGTGCCTGGATTCATGGAGAATGACTTCATCTTAAGTACATAGAGGCCAGTTGACCTGGCACCTGGGTCCCATGGGGTGGTTTGGCACATGGGTCCATGGTGGTGGGCTTGGAGCTGAGTCCATAGTGGAGGGTGTTAGTCTTGGCTCCATGGCGTCTAGTTTGGAGCTGGCCCACTACTGAAGTCTACTGGGGTGGGCCTAGAGCTTGGATCTGCTGGAGCATAGGGCCACAGGACCACCCTCGTTCCTAGAGCTATGGGCTGTAGCCTGTTGCTGTGATGGGCCTAGATCCTGGTTCTTCCAGGGCTTATCTGATGCTGTGGTAAGCCTGGAGCCTGTGTCCACAGAGGCTAGCCTGGAGCCTGAGGCTACAAGAGCCAGCTTGGCATTGAATTGAGCCTGAAGTTTGTACCTGCATGGACTGAACTAGAGTCTGGAGCAGCAGAGGAAAGCACGGCACTGGAGTGGACTTAAAGTCTGGGGCTGTATGGGCCATCTTGGAGCCTGGGGCCATGAGGTTCTGCCTAGCACTGGCGCTCACTGGGATAGGACTGGTGATGGGGTCTGAAGTGAAGTTGAGCATTCACTTCATTAGGCTTTCCTCATCCAGAGGGTATTTCTCTGCAAATTGTGATTCCCAAGCTAGTGGGAAAAGTAACATGGTGGTCTGTTTTGTGCTGCTATAACAAAATATCTCAGACTGGGTAACTTATAAAGAACATAAATTTATTTTCTCACAGTTCTGGAAATTACAACATCCAAGATCAAGGTCTTGGCAAGTTTAGTTTTCTGATAAGGGCTGCTTTCTGCTTCCAAGATGGTGCTTTACTGCTGCATCCTATGGAGAGAAGGAATACTATGTCTTCACATAGTGAAAAATAGAAAGGCAAGTGAGCTGAATGGTATGTGAAACTTCTTTTACAAGGGCCTTAATCCCATTCACAAGGGAAGGAGTCTTCATGACCTAATTAACTCTTAAAAGACCTACCTCTTAATACCATCACATTGGTCATTAAGTTTCAACATCTGAAGTTTGAAGGGAACACATTCTAGCCATAGCACACAGGTAATGTAAAACTGTCCTTCCCTCCTCCTCCTTCACTTCTCCTTCTCCTTCTTCCTTTTTGAGTCAAAGTCTCACTCTGTTGCCCAGATTGGAGTGCAGTGGCATACTCATGGCTCACCACCTTGACCTCTTTGATTCAGGCAATCCTTGGCCTTGGCCTCTTTGATTCAGGCAATCCTTCTATTTCAGCCTTGGAGTAGCTGGGACTATAGGTGTCTGCCACCATACCCAGTTAATTTTTGTGATTTTTTTTGTAGAAATGAGGTCTCACTATATTGCACAGGCTGATCTCAAACCCCTGGGCTCAAGCAATCCTCTTGCCTTGGCTTCTCAAAGTACTGGGATTACAGGCATGAGCCACTGTACCTGGCCCCTATCTTCTTCAATACATCTTTTCTTATTTATGTGGTGCATCCAGGTGCTTTAATCTTTCACTTGGACTTCTGAGCTCTTAAGGTATTTTTGAGTGTGAGTCGTTATTAAAATTGATGTTTTTGTGATAAGATGAACACTGGAAACGCCTATTACACCATCTTGCTGATGTCACTCTCCAACATGTTGATTGCTCTAATCTCTCAACATAATTCTTGTTTTGTCACATTGCTTTGCTTACTTTACCAGTAGGTGGCTCTTCTAAGTAAAACTGAGCATACTATTACTACCCATCCCTCCTACCCAACACTCATGCCAATTTTTTCCATTGGTTATAAATTAATAAATAAAGTGGTTATCAGTGAGAAGTCTTTCACATTTTTTTCTATGAATTCTTCAAATCCTTACTTGGAAATTAGATCATTCTTATTACAGAAGAACACCTAGATAAATTCAGGTGCAATATGCAAAAAATTCTGAGGAAAAAGGTTAAAGCAAAAAAAGAATCTTGCTTTCCAACAAAATTTAGAACTGAGGAGATATGAAATGTAAAGATGAGACCAAAGAAAATAGGAAAGCAAATTTCTGTTACATCTTCTCAAATCCACTCATTTACAGGTCTGAAAAACTTGAACTGAGTAATTGGTAATCTAGGTTATTAAATTAGAAGTTCTTCAAACACATTTCAGTAAGACTTCTTTTTGAATCAGATAATCATAATATTCAACTTTATATATATCCAATATGTATTAGCTATTTTGTGAAAGTGATGCATAAAGTCTCATACATAAGACTTTATAAAGTACATTAATATATATTAATTTATTTAATACTGATCTTCACTCCACCCTGTCAAGCATGGGAGATGTTTTTATGCTCATATTAAAGTTGCATTAGACAGTCTTTTCTGAGAGAGAGACTTGTCTATGCCAGTCCTTACTGGTACAAAACTTTCACCTAGCCTCGGTTTCCTCTCTTCTTCTCACTAATAAATTTTGTTTTAAAATTTTTAAAAAGTAAATAAATAAATAAAGCTGACTTAGAAAGAGTAGTGTTTTATAATCTATCTTTTTTTTAATATTTTAAAGATATGGGGTACAATTCAGGATTAAATACATAAGTGGTCATTGTACAGGTGAAGTTTGGGCCTCATTGGTCCTCACTTTGCATGGTTTGGGATCAGGTACCTTTATAAGTGTTATGTACCCACCCTCCTCCCTCCCCTGGTAGTGTCCCACTACTGTCAATCCATTTCTTGTAGTATAATGATAAATGTCCAGGATCCCCTTATGAGTGAGAATATGTAGTACTCAGTTCTTTGTTTCTGTGATAGATGATTGAGTATGATAGACTTTAAATTCATCCTGGCTACTGCAAAGTCCATAATTTTGTCCTTGTTTATGGCTGTATAATATTCCATCGTGTATATGTACCACATTTTTTTTATCCAGTCCACTTTCAATGGACAGCATGGTTCATTCCATGTTTTTGCTATTGTGAACAGTGCTGCAATAAACATGTGTGCTCAGGTATATTTTTATAGGATGATTTGAGTTCTTCTGGATATATTCTCAGAAGGGGGGTTGTTGAATCGTATGGAACATTGATTTTTAGATCTTTTAGAAATTGCCACACTGTTTTCCACAGAGGTTGTACTAATTTACACTCCCATCAACACTGTAGAAGCATTTCCTTTTCTCTGGATCTTCACCAGTATCTGTTGTTTTTTGAATTATTAATGATGACCATCCTGACTGGAGTTAGGTGGTATCTCAGTGTGGTTTTGATTTGCATTCTTTGATGATTAATGAGCTTGAGCACTTTTTCACATATCTGTTGGCTGCTCAAATGTCTTCTTTTGAGAACTGTCTATTCATGTCTTTTGCCCACTTTTTAATACAACTCTGTTTTTTTCCTTTTGGCATGTTTGAGTTCCTTATAGATCCTGATGGGTCTTTCACTGAGTGCATATTTTATGAGATCTTTCCCTAATTGTGAATGTTGTGTAACATGTGTTTGTCCATAAACAACCACAAATAGCCAAAACAATCCTTAGCAGAAGAAACAAAGTGGGAGATATCACAGTTCCAGACTTTAAACTTTATTATAAGGCTACAATAATCAAAAGAACCTGGTATTGATACAAGGACAGGCATATAGACCAATGGAACAGGATAGAGATTCTGGAAGCAAAAATCTCAGTTTCTCAACCAATTCTTCTTCAACAAAGCTTCCACCAACAACCCTGGGGAGAGGAGAATCTATTCAGTAAATGGTACTGAGAAAACTGGCTGATCACATGCAGAAGAATGAAACAGGACCTATCACCTATCACCATTCACAAAAATCAACTCCAAATCAATCAAAGACCTAAATGTAAAATCTCAAACTATAAGAATCTTAGAAAATGCAGGAGACACCCTTACAGAAATTGGAATAGGCAACCAATTCCTGATCAAAACCCCAAAAGCCCATGCCATAAGAGATAAGCTAGACAAGTGGGATCTCATCAAACTGAAAAGTTTCTGCAAAGCAAAAGAAACCATCAAGAGAGTGAGGAGACAGTCCACAGAATGGGAAAAAATACTTGCCAACTGTGTGTCTGATAAAGATTATGAATTAGAACCCAAAATCTTTGACAGCTTCAATGTTCATTTTTCTATGTAACATTAATCTTTCTTTTCATACATCTAAGGTTTTTTCTGTAGCATTTCATTACAGTTATAGATACAGCATTTACATTTTAGAAGTAAAATGGAAAGATACACAATTAGCCAAGCAATGATGCATGCCTATAGTCCCAGCTATTCTGGAGGATCCCTTGAGTCCAGTAATTTCAGGCTGCAGTGAACTCTGATGGTGCCACTGCACTCCAGCTTGATGACAGAGTGAGACCCTTTCTCCAACTCTCTCAAAAAAAGTACACAATTAGTATACTAATGCTATGATTTGAATGTTTATGTTCCCTCCAAAATTCACATTGAAACGTAATCCCCAATGCAACCCTACTAAAGAGAGGAGGGTTTGGGGAGGTGATTTAGTCATGAAGGCTCTGCCCTCATGAATGGGATTAGCACCCTTACAAAAGGGCTCAAGGTTAAAGGGAGCACTCTGTTGCCTTTCCGGCAGGTTTTTGGCCACATGAGGACACAGAGTTGTTCTCTTCTTGCCCTTCCATCCCCTCTACCATGTGAAGACACCTAGATGTCACCAACAATGAGGAACTGGCCTTTACCAGACACCAAACTGAACTTCCCAGCCTCCAAAACATTCAGAAATAGACTTCTGTAGTTTATTTTATTTTATTTTTTGAATGGGAGTCTCACTCTGTCACTTAGGCAGGAGTGCAATGGCACGATCATGGTTCACCATAGCCTCAAACTGCTGGGCTCAAGTGATCCTTCTGTCTCAGCCTCCTGAGTCATGGGACTACAGGCACATGCCACCACACGCAGCTAATTTTTTATTTTTTTGGAGAGACGAGGTCTTGCTATGTTGTCCAGGACAGTCTCAAACTCCTGGGCTCAAACAATATGCCCACCATGGCCTCCATTCAAAGCTGGGATTACAGGCATGAGTCGTCATACCTGGTTAAATTCTGTTCTTTATAAATTATCCAGTCTCAGGTATTTTGTTATAGCAGGACAAATCAACTAAGACACCGATCTATATCAATATCATAAAACTCATACAGGCTGGGTGCAGTAGCTCACACCTTTAATCCTAGCCCTTTGGGAGGCTAAGATGAGAATTGCTTGAGCATAAGGAGTTCGAGACCAGCCTAGTCAACATTACAAGACTTTGTCTTATAAAACAACCAACCAAACAAACAAACAAAACTCATACAGCCTTTCTTTGTTCAGAAGTATTTATTCACTTACAGTTTCCCATTTTTTTCCTTTCCTTCTATGTACTCACTATGAGCATCTTTTTCTTTTCTTTTTTTTTCTTGAGTTGGAGTCTTACTCCGTTGCCCAGGCTGGAGTGCAGTGCCATGTTCACGGCCAGTGTCGACCTGCTGGGCTCCAGCGATCCTTCCACCTCAGCCTTCCAAGTAACCAGAACTACAGGTGTGCTATCACGCCTGGCCAATTTTTAAAAAAATTTTATTGTAGAGATAAGGTCTCACCAAGTTGCCCAGGCTGTAGAACCTGTGGGCTCAGGCAACCCCCTCACCTTGGCCTCCCAAAGTGCTAGGATTATCGGCTTGAGCCACCGCACCCAGCCATATGAGCATCTTTCTAACATTAAAGAATCAAATACAACTGCAATTAGCCAAGCTCCTTTTGCCTAAAAGTTTCTCACTCCGCTTAGAATTCTCATAATAGTCATTCTTTTCAGCTTATCAATTATACTACTAATAAATTATCCAAAGAAGGAACTTACACCACTCGTATTTAGTAAGAATTAGCTTAACATAATTAATATAACTTACCTAGTAAGAGCCTGGGAAAATGGCACAGAGGACCTGGCAATTTTCTTGGACAAAGTATAACATGGTTCCTAAAAGTAGGACTCTGGAAAGGAACAAGACACCAAAGAGAATATCTGTATAATTCCACATTTAGGAAGTTCACAAATAAGCAGAGCTAATCCAGGTGAAGATATCAGTGTTGTTTACCTTGGAGGATTATTTACTGGGAGGGAGCATTAGGAAGCTTTTCCAGGTGGGAATGTTCTGAAGGATCATAATTACCCAGGTATACATTAGAATTCACCAAACTATTTAAGAGCTGTACACTTTGATATATGTAAGTTATACCTTGGATTTAAAAAGAAAAAAAAAGTGAAAACTCTTAAGTCAGACAGATCTGACCAATCCAGGGTCTGCCATTAATGATCCTACATATGCTACTTAACCTTTCTAAGCCATAAAAGTCTCATCTGGAATATGGGAATGATAATAATATCTACCTCATGGAGATGTTGCTTGAATTAAGAGACTGGCACACATAGTGCTCAATAAGTTTAGCGATCATAATTATCATCAACATTACCACTACTGTCATAAAGAAAAGGATGAAAAATAGGAGACAAAAAAAGAAAAGGTACATTCCACCTATAAGACTGGATTACATGGGATATCACAGAAAAAGGCACCTTGGAAGTTTGTGGGTAGAATGAAGGCATGGTGTCTAATGTCAGGAATCATGTCAGTATAACCTAGTGGTTTAAAGTGCCAGCTCTTGACACTAGATTGCCTAAGCTTGAATCTAGGCCCTATCATTTTACTAGGTGTGTAACCATATTAAAGTTCCTTAGCCCATATATAATAAGTGAGACTATTAAAGCCTACTTCACATAGCTTTTGCAAAGAAGATGGAGTCTGGAGTAAGGAGAAAAATAACGACTTGTTTTAGAACTAGTCATTTAATATTTACCATCGAGATGAAATAACACCAGTGAGTTTGATTTTCAGTGATTTTTTAATCTTGGCTGGGACAGTCTAATCACTTAATTTCTCTGCTTAAAATTCATATACTTAGAAAAGTCTTTTTACCCTATCTAAAATAGTATAATTTATTTAACAGGACAGCTGTAACAAAATAGTACAAACTGGATGGTTTAAAACAATAGAAGCTTACTCTCTCACAGTTCTGGAGGCTAAAAGTTCAAAATCAGGGTGTTACCAGGATCATACACTCTCCGAAGCTCTAAAGAAGAACTCATCTCTTCTAGCTTCTGGTGGTTGCTGGCAATTCTTGGTTGTTCCTTGGCTTATAGATCCATCACTCCAATCTGCCTCTATTTTCATGTAGTATTCTCCCCTCTGTGTCTATTTCTCTCTGTCTCTCTCTATTTATTCATTTTTTTTGAGTTAGGGTGTCACTCTGTCACCCAGGCTGGAATGCAGTGGCATGATCCTTCCACCTCAGCATTCTGAGTAGATGGGAATACAGTCACCACACCTGACTAATTTTTTTTGTAGAGACGAGGTCTAGCTACATTGACCAGGCTAGTCTTGAACTCCATCTCAGTCTCCAAGAGTGCTGGGATTACAGGTGTGAGCCACCCTACCTGGTATATTTCTCTTTTTATAAGGACACCAGGGCCAATTCTAACCTAATATGACCTCATCTTAACTAATTATATCTTCAAAGACCCTATTTTCAATGTGGCCACATTCTAAGTTGTCATAAATTTCTTTAGAGAGGAGCGATTATTTAATCCAATACTAGGAACTTCTGCCAATGAGACCAAAATAAAGTAGTCCTCTTACACACACCCTAACCATTGTTTGTCAAAAACACGTTTTATAGCACAAATTGTTGTGCTTTTTTCCCTCTTACTTATTATCTCTTTCCTAACTAGATTTTAGCCTTCCTAATGGTAGGAATCAGTATAGTGCCTGGCATTTAGTTGAAGTTCAAAAAACACAGAATAAATTAATCGATTCGGCAGCAATGAGGAAAGATAATTCAGTATAAAATAAAAAGCAGGTTGGTAGGATGGCTCATACCTGTAATCCCAGCATATTAGGAGGCCAAAGAGAGAGGATCACTTGAAACTAGGAATTCAAGACACTATTCCTCCTCTCTCAAACATATTTTGATTATGATCAGTAGATAATCAAAATAAATCAGTGGAATATTTAAAAAGTAAACAAATCAACCAAGTATTCCAGCCATAACATGGGTTTTTAAATGACATTCTGACTTCTGGGATTCATAAGTATTCCTTTAGGGGTTACATGGAGAATTAGGGGAAAGATTCGGTAGGAAGAAGGCAGAGCTATCCCCCTACCCTCATCTTTCACCAGCACCCACTTTAACCTTTCTCATTTGTTTTATGTAGTTTTGTTTGGATTTTAAAAAATAGGTTGTTTTTAAAAAAAATTTGAAGTCACTAATCTAAAGACAACAAGCACACAGTTCATCAGATTTCTCCTCTTAAAAATTTTGTCTAAACTGGCATGGTGGCTCAGTACTTTGGGACGCAGAGGTGAGAGGATTGCCTGAGTCTAGGGGTTGGAGACCAGCCTCTGAAAAGAAAACAAAAAGGAAAATAAATAAATAAATAAATAAATATTTTGTCTAAGTGAGTATTCTCTTATAGCTAAAATAATTACTACATGGTATTATCCTCCTAGTAATAAGAGCTCATCTATATCCTCACACTTATCTTGGAATGTTTAGTAGAGTTTTAAAAGTAAAGCAGCAATTTGGTTGGTTGATTTTTTAAATTTTAACTTCCATAACCACTTTCAATCAACATCAGACCTATCAATTTGCACTAATGTTTAGAACCCAACCACTTAAACAGAATGATAGAGTTAAAAGAACATGGGTTTTCTTTGGAGAACGAACTGGATTTGAAATTAACTTGATCATTTCCCGTGTGACACTAGATAAATCATTTCTCTTCGTTTCTTTATCTGCAAAGTAAGGACAATAATATCTATTTCACAGGATTATTATGAGAATTACATGCACAAATTATGTAAAAGCACCTCACACATAGCAGATACCAAATAAATGTTAGTTTCAAAATATTTTTCAAGGCTATGTTACAGCACTTTTCTTAATTTCAACTTTCTCATGTTGAAGAAGTGTATTATTCTATTAATTAGTAAAGTTAAAATTTTGTTAATAATTTTGCTTTTCATATATGACTACTTGAAAGTTATCTCAAAGGTCTTTCAAACACATAATTCACAGAGATTAAATAATCAACGATTTATACATCAAAGAGTATATATTGCGCAACCTGGTTTAACATGACTTTTTGAAACTGGCATAAACCTTATGAGTGGGCAGAATGCCCTATAAACAGATGGATGTGAAAGCTCAGGTGCCAGAAATCCAGCATGGCCACAGCTCATGTAGAATGTTAAAATAGTGACAGTTCTTGCAATTGGTCATCTGTCCCTAGTAATAACTAAGTCTAGCAGAAATATAAAACAAATTCTGAAATACATGAATGTTTATTTAGTCTTCAGCAGGAATTTATAAATGTTTCATATTCAAGTATTTTGGCAACCTTTAAAATATATCAAAGTGCATCTGATATCTCTTCTCTCTATGGTTGCAGCTGAAAAAAAAAAACCCTAAGTTGTCAATTTACAGTAATAGCTCTACCTTCTGGTTTCTCATCTCTAGTTCAAATTCAGCATAGTCATTCCTAAAATTAATAGACAGAAATTTCTAAGTAGTGTAGTGACTATATTTTCAATTTTCAAGTGAACCATTAAAATGTTCATTTTAGTAGTATTTATCATAGAGAAAAACTGGAAAATGTATAACTGGCCAATAGAGCACTGGTTAAATACATAGTTCTATCTACACAAAAGCTAAATTATGCTATATCCAAACTATGCTCCTCAACTACTAGCACTAAATTGTAGGAGAATATTTAAATAGCAATTGATCATAATATATAAATAAAGATAGTGGGTAACAAAACGATGTTTGCATGATCACATTTGAATATATATTTATTTAGAAGAAGTAAAAGGCTATCTATCAAATGTTCAGTGTGTTTCTGAGTGATTTTTACCTTGATTTTTCACTTTATATCTATATTCTTAAACATTTTACTATGAAAATATATATCACAAGTGATTATTAAAATACTATGGCAATTAATGGTAAGCTAAGTAGACTCAGAGGTTCTTTATATTTAAAAGCTGACTGTGTCTCACCACCACTTAAGTCATAACTCTGTTCTCTTTTCTATTGCCTGCCTCATTCTCTTGAGTTTAAACTCTATGAGGCATGGATTAGGGTCTGCTTTGCTAACTGAAGTATCACCATCTTTCAAATAGTAGGTTGCTAGAGAGAGGATAGTGTAAGAAGAGGTTTTATTCAGTGATCCAGCTTCTCAAAGGCACCAGTAATTTGCATAATCTAAGAGAGCAATTTAGGATTAAAACTTAAATATCTGTATTTATAATGTTTTAAAAAGAACTTTTTTTTCTGAGAAAGCAGGATTTATTGAGGGGACAGAAAAACTCCCACAGTGGGAGGGGACCTGAGGGGGCTGCCGACAAAGAACTCTTACAGTGATAATCATAATGCTGATTTATCAGTTTCATTCTCTAGTTAATTAGGTAGCAAACCTAAACATCAAAATCAGAAGTTTAAAAAAATTAGGTTAGTTTGGCTTTCCTGACTGCTGTAAAGTTTTTAAAGGGGAGAAGAGCTATTAAATTTATTGTAATAGATTGGGTTGAAAGAGTATAGCAGTTACATTGAAAGATTCTCGTTCAAATCTCACTTTCCACATTATAAGAATATGTAAACTAAGTAAACTTGATTAAGCACAATGTAACTGCTATACTCTTTAGTTTTTAAAGTCATAAGCTTGTCTAACAAATGTGAGGTGTGGTGGTTTGTTTCCTAGTTATAATCAGGCCAATGAACCAATTATTTGACATAACACTGGGGTTCCTTCACAAAAATATATTTTTTTTGTTAATGAGGCCAAAAGAATGTTCTACTAAAACTTTGATAACTTTAAATTGATGCCATTCACTTATAGAAAATAAGACCTAAGACTGCTTATTAAAATCTCATCCTTTTATCAGAACTGAAAAATAACTTTTTTCTCTTTTTTAACTCTGAATTTATATTTGTTATAGAATTAAAAAATAACTTTTTTTTCTCCTTAGGGATTCTGAACTTTGTTATTTAGAAAAATAATTTTAATAGTTATAGTTTAATACTGACCTCTGAATTTTTAACATAGCCATACATTTTAATTTTGATGAGAAAATAGCTAATAAATAAGTCTTTATATTTACACTATCAAGCAATTCTCTAAATAAAATCTTAGTAAGCACAGATACTCTAAAGAGCTCTTGTAGGAGACAAGACAAGTTTTATTAGGTGAAGTAGTAGACTTCTAAGATTTTCATTATTTTCTTCCACTTCTTACTGAGGTGTGCAACCTGTGCAGTAGCATAGGGATCCATGCTTGGTTGTATTATCAGATTAACTACAAGGGGAAAATTTTAAAAATCAGAATTATATTTTGGAGGTGGGCCCCTTATAGTACAGGATTCCCCCCACTAGCAAAGTATTCTAGGAACCCATCAGCATCAGTATACCGGCTAGAGTAGTATGAAAATTCAGTGCATTTTTTTTTGTGGCAGATAGATGACTGGCTCTTCCACCAATGACAACACACCTGACCACAATGCGCTGAGTGTTCAGCAATTTTTTTTAACCAAAAATGGCATGACCTCATGCCCCACCCTCCCTATTCACCTAATCTCACCCAGAGCAACTTTCTTTTTGTCTTGCTGATGAAAAAAGTCCTCAAAGGGAAACATTTTGCCAATGTGAAAGAGGCGAAACAAAAAACGGTAAAAGCACTACAAGGCATCAAAATTGATAAATTCAAAACTGTTTTAAACAGTGGAAAAAGCATCTCGGTAGGTGTATTGCATCAAATGAAGAGTAAACTGGAGGTGACTAAAGTTTAAATATGTAAGAATAAATATACAATCTTGTATAAATTCCAGGGTTTTTTTTGAGGTTCCCCCCAAACTTGGTGCCTTTTTTAAAGTAAGGATCACTTGACTTTGAGAAGACTATTTATAAAACAAGTAAATTTCTATGGAGAATGTGTATAGGTAGAAGGAAGGTAGAGTGAGGAGCAATATGATAGTAAAAAACTCGAGGAAGTCGGAAATCAGTATGGACTGCTCAATCTCTATACTTCCTACAGTTGTGAACTTAAAGCTTACATGAAGTATGAGCTCTGTCCAAAGCTCTTTGGTCAATATCATCCATCCCTTGTTAGGAAAAACTGAATAAGCACGGTGTTTCCAGTTAAGATCATTCTGCATCAAGTGAATCCTCCAATTTTCTACAATAATTCTAGTTAAAGCAGTTG